CAGACTGGAGGACTAGTGACTGGCTTCAGAATCGGTGGCGCTGGGACTTATCGGGAGGGGCCCCCAGGCAGTGCCCTATGAGACCACCTGTGTATGCTCTGATAAGACGCTGCCAGTTACCAAACCAAACCAAACTGACTGCCATCCAGTCAGATCCTACTCATAGTGACCCCTCGTTGGGTTTCCGAGGTGGTATCACTACGGAAGTAGATTGCCCAACCTTCCTTCTGAGGACTGACTGGTGGGTTTGAACCACCAGCCTTCTGGTTAGCAGTCAAGTGCCTTAGGCAATACTCCACCAATGCTGCCTGAAACTATTCTAAGGACAAGTCAATGCCTTACAGGGAAGATGGTTAATACCTGACAGGTGAGAGTAGATGTATATGTTACAGTGAGGTAGAGGGAAAATGGCTTATAGTTGTGTGGCTTGCAGTTTTGTGGCTAAACAAAATTGAACCTGAGAGCAGTTTGGGAAGGTTGCAGTTACTGACCATGCACCATGTAATAATGTCACTTAACTAGTGAAAAATGTCTTTCTTGAGTATTATACTCTTTTAAGAACTACCTATATGGGATCAAATTTACAACAGCAACTGGAAAGATTAGATAGAAATTTAGGGAGCAGTGAATTTATGTGAAAGGGGGAAGAACAACTCAGAAAAAGAGGGTGAGAATGGTTGCATAACTAGAAAAATGTAATAAATGTCACTGAATTGTACACGTAGAAACTGTTGAATTGGTGTATGTTTTTCTGTGTATATTCTCAATAACAACAACAAAATAAATACCACTGTATGTATATATATATATTAAAAAGCTAAAAGAAATTAGGGAGCTCTGGTAGCATAGTGCATAAGGCATTTGACTGCTAACGAGAAGGCTGACGATTCAAACCCACCAGCCACTCCTCGGAAGGAAAATGGGGCAATCTATTTCCGTAGTGATACTGCCTCGGAAACCCAAGGAGGGGTCGCTAGGAGTCGGGTCCAACTCGACGGCACATAACAACAACAACAACAACATGGACCACAACTCTGCTCTGACATACATGGAATTGCCACCAGTCTGAAACAACTCAAAGACAATTTTTTTCTTTTTAGAATCTCACTGACCAAGAAGTAATTGTCTCTAATCTGACGTTCCAACACTCTGCCCAACACTCCATACAGTTTGTATCTAAGAGTCTGTCCTTATGAGCTGGGAAGCATCAGGAAAGGCAGCCTGGGATAGCAGCAAGAATATCGACCAGCAGTCAGGAGAGTCTGGTTGTCTCCTCTAACATTCTAACCTTGGGTACATCCCTCCATTTCTTTGAGCCTGATTCCTTGTTATTAAATTCTTTGTATTATAATATTGGCTTCTTTATTATTAATGCAAAGGTTAGGCTAGGTTACCTCTAACATCCCCTCTAGCTCTATTCTACGAGAAGGAGACAAAAAGGTATTTGGCAAATGACCTTTGACCTCCTGACCCTTTTATCTCCATGTTTAATGAACTCAATGCAATCAATGTGTTTTGATTCATCAAAGCCATACGAAGCTGTTTGGTCTGATGCCACTTGCTACATAAAAAGCAAAAGAAATGGGGTGTGAGTAATTTGGATTTGTAAAAGGGGCCCTCATTTCCTTAAGTCCTAGCAACAGATGGGTTGATTCTACACCACCACCACCCCATTTTAAAATAGCAATAATTAATACCTGAGACAGGTCCTTTTATCTAAGGTGCTCAAAGAGCTTTGTGGTAATTAACCCATCAATTCACCTGCCTCAAAGCCATCAGATGGGTCAGGAGGAATCTCCTTAGAAGACTAGTACACTAGAAACTAAAAACAATCACAACATGAGGAATGAGCATGACTAAACAGCCTGGAGCCTCCATCCTTCTTGAGGGTGGGGTCACCAAAATAGTTCTTGTGGAAGAATTAAATGGAAAATCCTATTGTTCTACTGGCAGCAATTTAACTACTCACTGGGCTTTTTGAGTGAATTCTCAGATGTCACAATTTATCATCTAGAAAATCCCTTTACCCTTAACTTAAATTTTAGATTAGCCTTTACAGCTTCAAAAAAAAAAAAAAAAGTATCCCCAAAGCAAGTAAAGGGGAGAATTTTTGCTGGTAGAATTTTCTTCTCTCAAAGGAAAAAATGGCTTTTTAAAGTTAAAGAGTCTCTAAAGATAGAATGCCACTTCAGAATGAATTTGTCAAGGGTTTATTACTAAATTCCTGACTTATTTGCAGGTGGTTTCCATGAGAAAGTATCTGTGAAAGACCATACTATTAAAAAGGCCTGGAATTCTAGCATTAGAATCATTCAATTAATCAGTCCATCCATCACCTAGGAAGTGCCCCACCCTGGGCAAGGTACTATGAGAGCATAAAATGTGGGACCTGACCCTAAGGCAGCTATAAATCTAATCAGGGGATGAAACTCCTACAAATGGAAGAGCAGTGAATGAGATGAGGCAGAAAATACAATTTGTGTAAATTTGATTAGGACAGATCTTAAGTGTTCTAGAGTTCATGATGGGAGGTGATAGGTGAGGATGAGAGGGAAAGCATCTTAGAGCAGATAAGATGAAATATATCTTAGAGGATGGGAAAGCATTTGGATGGGTAAACAGAATGGATGGTAATAAAGAAAAAGGTATTCAGCAGAGGGCAGCATCTAAGAAAAGGCAAGCAGGTACGAGCTTATTTCTTTGTGCCATAGTGGGAACACTAACCTGGCTAAAACCACAGGCCTAGAAATCTGAAAGAAATAAAGGTTGGATGGAAAAGGTAAGGCCAGATCATGAAGCATCCTGAAACCAGACAAACGCGTTTCAAGTGCAGTGATTCGTGGTCTTCAGAAGTCCTCTGTCAAAATGCACACATCCAGGGGGGAAAAAATAAGAAGTAAATTTAGGGGAGTAGTTGGCATAATTGAGACACTGATCTGACTTTATTATATATCACCACGGGAGAAAATTAATACATGATACCAATATCACCTTGAATTGTTAGTTCTTTTATCTCAGAACCTAGGAAAGTCCTGATAAAATGAGACCAAGACAAGAGCATTCTGATGAAGATAAAGAGGGCCAGAATAGAGGGAAATGATAACCAAAGCCTTGGGCAATGCCATAAATGACTGGTCTAGTTAGGGGCCAACATATGATGGACAGCAAGGATCTATGGAAGGATTTCCAAAAGAGAGGAAAGGGTGGAGTTTCTCTTTTGGAAATTCACAATTTTGCCAAACACTGGCCCTTTTTATGCACAAAACTATTCCTATGTGCCAATGAAACTCATTCATCTATTGAGGTGGATACTCTTTTGGATCTTACAATAAAATAAAAATCAAGATGTAAGGAAGTGTCTGGAGATGGCTTTTCTACAGGATGTGTCAGAAGAAGAATGTAGTGTCCTCACGTGAGGCCAACTAAGGGCTCTCATAGCTTCTGGACCACATGGAGTTTACAGGGAGGAAACAGAGTTTCTAAATTCATACACCTTCAGAACTACCTTCAGGCCAAGGTGCCTCTGGTCAGCAGTAGAATGAAAAATAATTGTTCTCAGCAAAGAAATATATGTAGAAAAGTTGCTGTGAAACTGGAATAGGTGTGTCTTTCTGTCCTTCCGGTTCTTTTTATAGGTGCTGCAGGAACTTGAGTAAGGGCCTACAGTTCTTCCACCCATTTGAGGAGAGATTAAAGAAGCTGAGGTTGTCTCCTTCTTACTCATTGGCAGTTACAACCTTGCTGCCACTACAGCCTCAGCTGCCAGAGTGGACACAGAGAAGGTAAGTCGGAGTTAAGGGGCCATGCCCTCAGCTATAAACTTGGATCCCTCCAGCCATCTGGCTTGGGAATAACTAAAGGGGAGTAGAGCTGGGGGTATTCAATTGTGACAGTTTTTTCCAAGTGAATATGTGGGATGTTTTTCCAGGCCACCTCAGTCAAGACACAGACTTTGATGTTAAACTGTCCAAAAAGTTATTTGAAAGCAGGCACCATTTTGTATGATTCTTTGATTGACAAATAGTAGGTGTTTAATAATAACCTGTTGCATTGGGTTGACTTGAATTGAATTAAAAGAAGGAGTAATCACTAAAATACTGGGGAAATCACCTACTTGACTCCTTCAAGCAGTGGATTAGCACCTAAAATGACCCAATGGTCCATTAATGTTGGCAACTCTTGTTCTGGAGTCTGATATAACTGGATTTCCATCCATCATACAAACATTGTCACTCCAATTTTATGAAAAAGATTCTACATTAGCTTTCAAAAAGTCTTGGAGGAGATTGTGGCATAGGTATGTATGAATTATCTAGAGCCCTCAAGTGGAGTCTATTCTCCTTTTCTAGCAGAAGGATAGAGCTCAGCTAGTTTAGAAGGTTTTTAGTTGTCTTTCTCATTTATTTACTGACAACTCACATGCAAGAGTTACAAATTTTGGGGTAATATATGTGAGAGAAAGAAGCCTTAGTTGCACAGTGGTTAAAACACTTGGTTTTAACTGGAAGTTTAGCACTTCAAACCCACCAGCCACTCTGCTGGAGAAAGATGAGGCAATCTGCTTCCATAAAGATTTACAGCCATGGAAATCCTATGGGGGAGTTCTACTCTGTCCTATAGTGTCACTATGAGTTGGAATCGATGAATAGTAGTGCAGTTTTTTATATGGATAGCATTTCCTGTCCCTTTAGACCATACTTGTATATACCTTTGATTCCCACCCCATCCCCCATCTCAAGGAAGCATAGCATTTAGGTAAGTACCAGGAATCAAACAAAATATAACTCTGGCTCTCTTCAGTGTCCTCGTGACAATTTGAGGAAAGCCATTTTATTCACTAGGCTCAGGTATCTTCACTTTGCAATGAGACACATTATAGTGTCCTGCCTGGGACTACTGAAAGGTGTTCAGGTAGGTAAATATAAAGTAATAAATTTGTCTTACCTTTTTTCTATAGGGTATCAGAAGATCATTCTCGTGAGAGTCATCTACAAGTCACCATGTATGATGACTGTGTTGAGTCCACTGGGGACTATTTTCTCCTCTGTGACACTGAGGGGGCTTGGGGCATTGTTCTGGAGTCCCTGGCAGCAATTGGCATAGTAGTTACGATTATGCTGCTCTTGGCACTTCTCTTCCTCATGAGAAAGGTTCAAGACAGCAGCCAGTGGAATGTTCTCCCCACACAGTTCCTCTTCCTCCTAGGTGTGCTGGGGCTCTTTGGCCTTGCTTTTGCCTTCATCATCCAGCTCAATCAGCAAACTGCCCCCATACGTTACTTTCTCTTTGGAGTACTCTTTGCTCTCTGTTTCTCATGTCTTTTGGCTCATGCCTCCAACTTGGTGAAATTGGTGCGGGGTAGAGTCTCCTTCACTTGGACAACAATTCTGTGCATTGCTATTGGTTGCAGCCTGTTGCAGACGATTATTGCTATTGAGTATGTGACTCTCATGATGACCAGAGGTATGATGTTTATGCACATGACACCCTATCAGCTTAATGTGGACTTTGTCGTACTCTTGGTCTACGTCCTCTTCCTCATGGCTCTCACGTTCTTCGTCTCCAAAGCCACCTTCTGTGGCCCATGTGAGAATTGGAAGCAGCATGGAAGGATCATCTTTGTTACCGTGCTCATCTCCATCATTATCTGGGTTGTATGGATCTCCATGCTCATGAGAGGCAACCCACAGCTCCAGCGGCAGCCCCAGTGGGATGACCCCGTTATCTGCATTGCTCTGGTCACCAACGCATGGGTTTTCCTGCTAGTGTACATTGTACCTGAGCTCTGCATCCTCTACAGGTCATGTAAGCAGGATTCCCCTTTACAAGGCAACACCTGTCCAGTGCCAGCCTATCAACACAGCTTCAGAGTGGAGAACCAAGAGCTCTCAAGAGGTACTTTCTGGGGAGTTCAGGGAACAGGGAAACTCCCCTGAGGGGAGAACAGGAGAGAAATGGGACATCAGGATGAGCCAAGAAGGAACAAAAAGGGAGTAGGTCAGATGTTAGGTGGGTGACTTAATAGTTCAAAGATAGAGGTGAAGACACCCAGAATCATGAGTAAACTTGTATGAAAAATCAGTTCTTCCAAAATAGAGATTTATGGGGAGAGACCAAACCAACAATGAATTAAAGGCTCCAAATAATGAGCATATGGCTCTGAGCGCTCATGCTGAGTAAAGGCACCCACTATAAAATGTGTTAACCAGTCACAGACTAGTCTGTTGTTGTTGTTGTTATGTGCCGTCAAGTCAGCCCCGACTCATAGCGACCCCTCCTTGGGTTTCCGAGGCAGTATCACTACGGAAGTAGGATTGCCCAACCTTTCTTCCGAGGAGTGGCTGGTGGGTTTGAACCGCCAGCCGTCTGGTTAGCAGGCAAGTGTCTTAGCCACTATGCTACCAGAGCTCCCACAGACTAGTCTAGGACTATGCAATTGCATGATATATAATGATAAGTCCAGCTGCTTTGGCCATCAGGTGCAGCAGCAGCAGTCAATCCTAGCAGTGATGATTGACAGTTTAAAAATTTAAGTCCCAAAGCTAATTTACCCAAATATAATAATAAACTGGTTCATAGAGCTCATCACCTCATTAAAATCACAAAACCCAGTAGCTTCTGGATTTCTACTTTTCAAACCTTTCATTGCTTAAAACTCTTCAAGGTTTACAAGAAGTGATAGGAAGAGCCCTTAAGTCTGAATCCTGAGTAAAGGCTCAGATATATAGTCACTAGTAGTAATAAAGCAACTTGCTTGTGTGACATTTTCATAATAATTTCTAGATAATATTTTTATCCTTATGTAAGACCAAGCCATCTTACTTACTATACTTTGTTAAGTAATATCATACATTATCCATGACAATAAGGATGCTTGGACCCCAAGAACCTGGAGGAAATAGTGGCTAATTTCAGTTATCTGGAAATATGTCAAAACTCCTTCCTTTCTGAAACATCTGGCCTATTCTTCATGACTCAATATCATAGTTTTACATCAATTTTTGTGTCTTACTAGGCATCTGATTTCTCACAATTCATCTCTAATGTGCAAAAATTATGTTATTTTATATATTGTATAGCACATATGTTCACTAGGCTTGAAAAATTAATAGATGCTTTCCTTTTAAGTACACATACTTTTTTGAGCTGTAATCTATGGGTAATTACACATTCAAATTAAATCCTGTTCAAATAGATGCATCCATTTATTCTTTTCAGCTTAGTTGACCATGAGTTAGAAATTGACACCATACATGCTTCCTATAAAAGTTTTTAACTGCTTGTTGGTAATACATAATCAGGTCACTGAGGTTTGCTGTGGAATTGCAGAGTCAAGCTTTTTTTAAACTACACATCAAAGCTCTCAGCAGAAGATAGGATAAAACTGTGTATGTTTATTTATTTATTTGTAGGTATGTTTCCAAGGGGGAAAATAAGTCATAGAAAGGCAAGTTCCTGGAGTTTCTTAACAGACCAGTTAATACACACTGGAACTTGTAATGACCAATATTCCATGGCTCCAAAATATTAGACAAGTGTTTCAAGCTTTCTAAGGAATGTCTAAATTGAAGAGAAAGGGGTTGAGGAAGTACAGTGTTACCTGGTTTGGTAAGAGCTATGCTTATTATCCAAGCATTTTCAGAAAAATATTGTACAAATGATGTTGTTGTTATGTGCTGTCAAGTCATAGCAAGCCCTCCTTGGGTTTCTGAGGTGGTATCGCTATGGAAGTAGATTGCCCAACCTTCCTTCCAAGGGTCAATGTCAAATGGTAGTGAGTACCAATGTAATATGGCATTTGGTGGTGGTGGTAGTGTACTAAAGAACATAGAGATTACTCTGAGATTAAGCAGAATAACCAGAAACTTAAGGTCAGAAAGTGGAATCAGAATTTAAGGAACCTGGGGACAGCAAAATTCAAAAAGTAGAAAAACAAATAAAACTCAATAAAAAGTGCAGGATTATACCTAGCTAGGAAAAACATACAAATAGATACAGAACAGTAAGAATCAGGAAAGTACATACACACACAATAATAATAACTTGAAAAACCCTAAGTGTTATATATCATGAGTTGACAGTTGAAAAGCAGCTTAGTACCATCCTTGGTTTTGTTTGCTCAAGAAATAGGTGTGGTACTACATCAACAGGCATGTGGTCAGCGAAAACAATGAACAATTATGCTGTTGTTCTCAGCACTGGTCAGTCTCTAGCAAGACTACCCCTCCCCTTTCTAGGAGCCACTAATGAGAAGCGCAGGAAACTTGGAGAGGTTCAGTGGAAAAACCACAAAGATGATTAAAGCTCTATAACATCAGACATATGTGGGAAGGTTAAGACAATGAAACTTGACAGTAGTTCTTAAGTGTTATGTACCTTTCTCTTAGATGATTTAAATTCTCACTCTAAGTGCGGTACTAAGATACAATATTTTGTTTGAGTCCGTGAGACATACATTAGTCATGTGACTCTTCTGATTCTTGCTGTTTGTAGTTGTGACTCCAGTCACATAATTATTCAATTACTACTGGGCTATGGAAATCAGAATTACCGAGCTGAGAGAAGAATAGGACAAGGGGTGATTAGCAAGGAAATTTACAAATATGGAGACCTCTCTCCAAGAGGCTGTTGTCCTGTTGTTTTCCAGCTCCAACTAAAAATAATGGGTAGAAATGGACTTAAACCAATCATTTGGTCTGAGGGATTTAGATTAAAGATGATAATAAGAGCTGGTGAGCACTGAAACAGATCAGCAAAGGGGATTAAGGACTCGATTTCCCTGAACATCTTTAAAAAGATTAGGCTTTATCTCTCTAAAGTGGTTTAGGACTTAATTCCAAGATACAAAACATCTGGACAGAGAATTAAAATGCAGTCAGGCATATTGCTATAGGACCTCAAACAAATGGGTGTAAATACTCTTTGCCCTGTGTAATAATTTTGTGCCTGGAAAGCTATATAGTAATTGAACTTTTAAAATCATTTGCTCTTTTAAGTAAATATTTTAAATGTGATATAACTGGCAGAGATCTTAAATATAGAAGACAAACACCCATGAATCCCTTTTTATGAAAGGAAATCTTTTCTTTCAATTATTGCCTAGTTTATCTGTTTTAGATTTATTAGAATTATGTTATATCAAATTTCCTAAAAGCAAGATCTATCTATATTTGAAAGTGTCACATCACTGACTGCATTTGTACATCCAGTGTTTGAGTTTGGACAAACCTAGTATGTTTCTATATAGCCTAAAAATATTTTCTTTAGCAAACACCACCTTTTGCTGATCATATAGCTCTTTTTGACAATTCAACTTTTTTTTTCCTTCTTCAAGGCACCCACCTTACCAAAGGAAACTTAATTTGAATGGTCTCAAGCAATATAATTTTTGTTTGTTCTTTTGTGGGAAGTTTTTTTTTTTTTTTTTTTTTTTTCCTTTTTTGTCACCTCGAAGAACCACAGGTTACAGAGGGAGAATTGAGATAAAAGAGGGAAAAACACAGTGAGTCATGGGCAGTATTTGTTTGCTTGGTCTGAGGACAGATAAATCCAGGAGAGTGACATTAACAAAGAAAGATTCAGGGAGCATCAGCATAAGCAGGCAGTGTTGGGCAGAAGATAGAACAGAATGTGGCCTCATGTACCCTGGCTTGGAGCCTCAGCTCGGCCTCTTATGAACTCTGAGACCATAGCAAGGTCCTCAACCTCTGGCAGGCTCAAACTCCTTGTCTTTAATAGGTGATTGTAATGTCCCTGCCTCCTCTACTTATAAATGCTAGTTCTCACTTAATCTATTGAGATTTCATATTATGAGGTGGTTGCAGGTTTAATACAGAAAGATTCATGCTTTTGATGAATTCATGAACAGTAACTAGAGTTGTAAGAATTGGACTGCTTTAATTTGTGACCTGATGTGATGAGACAAGATGTTAGATGAAGGTTGGTTTCCAAGGGACTGAGTGTGAAGGAGTCTTGTGCTATGACAAGGAACAAAGTTAAACCAAGGATTCAGTTCATTCTGACATGTAGCAAAGAAGAACATGTCATATGTCACAGAATTCAACCCTACTGAAAATGCCAGTATGAGGAATATGATGGAATATCAGTTATAACTACACTAACATCACCACCAAAAATAATAATACACAGGAATAGCTCATATGAGGTTTTCTATATAGCATGCTCTATTTTAAGGGCTTTAATTGATTTAATCTTCAAAGCAACCTTATGAAATGGATTTACTATTATGATCATCATCATCCTTCTTTAATTCCCACCATGAAACAAGGGCAACAAAAGGTTAAGGAACTTGGCCCTAGGTAGCACAACTAACAAGATAGAGAGCCAAGAAGTTCTGCTCCTGGTTCATGAACTCAACACTATAGCTCTAAGCGTAAACACTAGGCTATGGCTATGTCTGTGGTCATCAGACAACAAATACATATTGACCAAGTGCTTGGCCTTAGAGATGAAGCAGCAAAATAGTAGACACAGTTCCTGTCTTCATGGAGTTTACAGTCTGGTTGAGGAGACAGACATTAAATAAATAACTGTGTGTGTGTGTGTATGTGTGTGTGGTTATTCTAAGACAGTATAAAATTGTCTCTGGAAATAGTTTTCATTATGTCCAGTTTTAAAACTTGAATCAAAGCTTGTATAGTATCAAGCCTAAAGGGACCTTAGAGATAATCTAGTTCAATCTTCTTATTTTACTTTCACTGAAGTGAGATGTCCAGGATCACACAGGTTATGCTTAGAGAACAAAGACTGACCCAGTAGTAGTGCTCTTTCTCTAAAAAGTAATGATGACTCTTCAGCCTCCTTAATTATCACAGATGTTCTTCTCCTGAACACAGAAAAGGTATCCATCTGCAACCTTCCTCACCAGTTTAAACATTAAAAAAAAAGAACCAGCTTAAACTGAGAATTCTTTTTTGTAGTATTTTCTTGCCTTTGAGGGTCAGGAGTCTCTTGGCAAGCCATGAAGGCTTCTCATTGTCCTCGTGTGCTATTTCCACATGAATCTGTGACACTAACTCAGCCCTTCCCTCCTTTGGCTTTCAGCCCGAGACAGTGATGGCGCTGAGGAGGATGTAGCATTAACTTCATATGGTGCCCCCATTCAGCTGCAGGTAAATGTGCTCGTCTGCTTTCACCAGAGCAAGCACTTCTACTCAGGAGAGAACCTCAGGCTTCATTTCTAGTGGTGTTAGTCAACCTGAGAGAGGAGAAGCAGGACAGGAACATCCCTAAAGGCATGTTGCGCTTGAGCCATCCAGATTTGAGGCCTACCAGAGCAGGGTAACAGAGGCAAATCACACCTTTTGCCTCTGCCCACACTTTTCCCAATCGCTCAGCCACTGCCATGGTAATAGATTTTAAAGCAGGTGAATGTTCCAGGAAGGAAAAGGCAGCTTGACAGGTTTGTGTGAATGTGAAGAGGAGCAGCAGGCTCACACTTTTTGCCTTGGGGACAACAGGAGATTGTTAATATGCATGAGCGTGGGATCTGTTTTTAGAATCAGTTGTCTAATTGTATCCCATGAGCCCCACTGGCTGCCTGTCTGAGTCATTGTCTCGCTCCAGCAGCCCAGGCTGACCCAAGAACTGGGCTAGGTCTGTCATTATCATGTGGATGCCCAGATGCGTGTACCAGTTATAATACTTCCCAACAAAAACAGAGGGAACACGGCTGAACTGAACTGGAGGCAACCTGTTTTTGTGCTATGATGGCTTGCAGACACAAATCCAGACAACCAAAAATACTAAATTAAGATATGAATATTATGGGGACCAAAAGTAACTACAATCCAAAAGTGAGAGTCATGCTCAGCCCATTTGTTCCATGAACATTATTAAGCAATCCTAACTAGGCAAATCCCTCTGGTATATTTTGCCTTTTCCTGGAATGACACGTGAACACATATCTAGCTATATCATTTCTTGTAATTAACCCTCTGGAGGGCATTGACATGATGAAAAAATCTGTCTTATCCTCTCCAAAAAGTTCTTGGATTCATTTCAATTCCAGTGACCTGCTAGCTGTTCCAGAAACTTGCAAAAAGATTCCTGTTAATGACTAAGAGGAAGGATGGTACATAAAGAAGTTCTGATCTGAGTAGGCTCAATATTTTCTTCTTTTTGTCTATTAACAAAGGATTAGGTGATGGTGAGATGATAATATTTCAAAGACAGTTCTGGAGAGTACTATCCTTGATGCTGGCTCAGAAAGTTGATGATGACTTTTCTTTCTTTCCAGACTGTTGATCCCACACAAGAGTATTTAATCCCACGGCTAAACTAAGCCCCCAGCAAGATGCAGGATTATAAAATCCACAGGAGACATGAGTAGTGAAAACCCAGAAGATAATCCTGTTTAATGTAGCCCGGACGAGCCACTGAGGAGCACGCAAAGTCATGCTGCCAACAGAACAATGGCTCATCTTTCTTCCTGTTCCCTAACCTCTCTATTTATCTGGACCCTTCATCACAAGACTGCTCTTTCGAGTATAATTACAATCTTATTGGCCACCTTACTTTGACTGTGTGTCTCTTTCTTCATTCATGTAACTACAAATTCCTTTCCTTGCTATGTAGGAAAGAATTGGTGCTTCTTACTAACAGGTCCCAAAGGCCTTGGTCTGAAAAAAATTATGGTCATGCTAATGTGACAAAGATCAGTAGCAACTTACTACTGGATTTCTCCTAAAGACATTTTTTATAAAGGGCCCCTAAGTATGATTGAAACATGTATGACACAAACAGTTTGCATTCGACTACTTACCTAAAGGTTGGTGGTTTAGGTAAACCACCCGGCAGTACCATGGAAGAAAATATCTGGCTATCTGCTTCCATTAATCAGACAAGAAAGCCCTAGGGAGCAGTGCTACACTGTAAGGTATTTGGTCGCCATGAGTGAGAGTCAAGTTGACAGCAATTGACAACAAAAGCAAAGTATAATTTACCCACTGTGATGGTTATGTTTGTATGTCAACTTGGCTAGGCCTGGCTGAGTGGCTGGGCAGCTGGATGTAATATTCCCCATGATGAGATGGGTAATCAGCTCCATGGTGGAATCTACTGGGAGCAGCTGAGTAGCTGCCTGTGGGTATGTTGTCTGCTTCCTGTATTTAAGGAGAAGCCTTGGGAATGGACTCCAGCCTATAGCACGCTTGGACCATGCATGTAGCTGTGTTGTTGCTGAGCAGCCTGCTATGCTTTGCCGACCTTGGGACTGTTGTGCCCAGGTTATGAAGGAGTTGCTCGGCGAGAGAAATATGCTAACACACGACAATGCGAAAGCAATGTTGTTGTTGTTGTTATGTGCCGTCGAGTCAGCCCTGACTCATAGCGACCCCTCCTTGGGTTTCCGAGGCAGTATCACTACAGAAGTAGGA